TGTCTTACGTAATGAATACCGCACTTATGGCTCATGAAAATTGATTGTTTTTTTGCATACGTGTGCACAAACATTAGATCTAAAAATTTTCTGTGGGTTTTTTTTTCCTAAACGAATTAGAAAATTTTTAATGAATTTTTTCCTGAGGTAACATTCAAGTTTGCGAAAAATCCGGGAAAATCCACACTCCACACACCACCAACAAAAATCTATTCCATATATCAAAAATTCAACAGACAAATTTTTAGTATTACCTCTTCTCTTCATTCTGTGAAAATTTCATGAAGATTGGATGAAAAATGATGGAGTTATTGAAAAAAAAGTATAGAGAAAAGTAGCATTTTGAGAAAACGGCCGATAAAGAAAAGAAAATACTGACTTTATGAGGAAATGGCGGTTACAAACTTGCCCGGTATGGGGAAAAATACGGTTTTGGGGGGTTCTTATGCCATGAAATAGTTGTAGGAGGGGCTGTGAAAGCTAAATATGCCTACAACTCTAATTTCATGATTTGGAGCCGAATTTTGATTTTGGATGTGGCTAGATCTAAATATAGATTTATCTATGTTTTGCAAAATGATTTTGCACTTAAGTAAGATCGGTGACATGAAATGTGCACTTGGTCCCCTTCAGTCACATCTATATTGTTCTTTTTATGTTGTACAACAACGACCAGAATACCATTCACACCTTGTTTGTTAGAGGGAAATTACACAGTAAACAAACATCAACTGAAAATTAATTTATTGGCTTCCCATACTTTTTACACGAAAGCACAGCTACCGATGACGATGACGAGTACCTCATTTTCGGGAAAATCCGTTTTATGTAAAATGTAAACATTCTCGCGTCAAAGCAGGTAGGCTTATGATAAACCGATTTGATCGTAATATAAATTTTGCTTTTTTGACAACTTTTAACCCATTTTAAAACAATTTCCTCCACGATTTCGAATACCGATTTTTAATGTGTTATTACACGCAATTTTATTCGTCGAATCATATACGTTTGATTTTTGTTGCAATTTTTATTGGGTCTACTTTTATATTTTTTCCACTAATATAAATTATATAACAATATTCTCTTTTTAGACTTCATATCTGGATAGGTGTCAATCAGTTTTAACAGTCACATTCACACAAAAAAAGCTTATAGAAGGTCCAGGATTAGCAGTCCTTCGTGAATTTTGGCTGATTTTTATAGCGGATGGCAGTTTTCGAAAGTTTGGGGATAATGAAGCAAAAGCGGATTCCCAGGAGTCATTCGAAAATTGTGTTTCTCACATGAGTTGTTATATCTTATGCACCACCCATATAATCTGTAATGTGCCTTGAGGACGGAAGGAATTAAGTAGAAACCTTAGCTATGTAAGACGTCAAGCTATTGTATTTGATAGAGGGCCAATATCAAAATGAATTATGGGTCAACATGATGGCCTAGATCTAATCTTTTTTTCTGTTTCAATGGAACTAACAGGACTGTGTTGCTGTACCCTAATCCGAAACGGGCAATGCCCAAGGGCAAAATCTTCTTACAAAAAGCCAATCCTAGTTTTCACGGCTGCGTGGCGCAGGGATACCTAATGCATGTATCATGTTGTCGTTTCTTTAACGATCTCAGAAAAAAAAAATACTCGTCAACTGTACAGGGTAAACCCTAGGCCTAGGCTATCTAAACATGATTCAAAATTACGATTGATGAATGTAGATTTGTCCAATGTGGATTTGATATTCCCAACAGTTATGGAACACATATACATGTAGGGCCTCTAAGCGGCATTTCACCTAAAACGCGCTTTTATAGACTATGCTGAAGATCGTGGATATGCAGCTACTGTTATTCAGATTTTGTAAAATTTGGACATAATTCGACTACCACATTTCCGGATACCCATTGCATTCTGCAGTTTTATAAAATGGAAAGGGGGAATTAAGGGTGTCCCTTGCGATAAGAAAATCTGACACTCATACAAATAGAATATTAAAATTATCTCATTTGGCCCCACCGCGAAACTGAAGACTTGGTAGGCCAGGCCTATGTCAGATAAACACCTAATCTAATGTTTTAAAAAATCTGGAGAATCAGGGCAAAGGTCTCCCATAGAATCAAGATCTAGGCCGTAGTCCAGGCACAAACAGAAACCAGTTGGGTCGCATTCTGTGGCATTCTGTGGATTCTGCTTGACCAGTGCAGAGCAGTGTCGGGAGATAAAATTGCTTGTGTGGTCAGGTTTCTATAGTCCATAAAGGGGATTATTTTAGTCATGTCGCAGCCGAAGAAAGTATGCATCGTGGGCTCTGGAAACTGGTAAGTGGTAGGCCTATGTATTGACTGAAATTCTGTAGGACTGAAGGGAGGCCTCACGTTGAAGTCGATGCTGAACATTGAAAACAAACAATTTGAGATTTTCATTTGAAATCTACACCATTCATTAGTTTAGCGGCTAGGCTTAGGTAGGTGCAATCAAGTAGGTAATTATTGTTTCATAGAACTTTTTTTCTAACTGCCACCACATAGAGTCTAGATCTAGCTAGATCTAGAAAATATAGATTAGCTAAAATCTAGATCTAATGCTCATATCATTTTGTGGCAAGTGCTATTAAAATCTAATGATTAATCTAGGCTAATAAGCCTAATATAAAAAAATAAATAATAGGCTAGGCCCAGTTTCTTCATTGTTTATACCAATATTCATTGTATTTATTAGGAGGAATCATTCCATTCATTATAAAAACTATCCTAATCCTAATTCTCACTATTTCATAAATTAAGAAACCAGAAGTAAAAACCAATAGCCTACTTTTAAAGTCTTTTAAATGAATATATATTAATATAAAATGAGGTTATGGGTTGGTAATCAAACTTGCTCTAATGACAATTTGACCTGCTTTATTGGATGTTGTTTTTTAGTAAGTGTTTTATTACGGCGCTCACAACAACTGCATATAAAAGGATAATAAAATAAGGTCATGAGAGCGGGGTGTACACATTAGATATTTTCAGTTTGGTAGATATTAATTTTGAATTTTGCCCAGGTGACAGCTGAAGCCTATCCTATCGATTTTGTACCACCAAGGGATCTTGAACATGCACAATGTGCACATGGGACCTCCGAGATTTTTCGCCCGTATCTGAGAAGGCTAGGTGTTCGTAGAATCTTACCTACCCAAAGATCAGGGGTTTGGCTGAAAGATAGTAAGAAGGACCCAAGGAGTCGCAGAAGAAAGGCTGTGCACGGAAAGAGTGAGAGGAGCCCAGAGGCCAAAGGAGGGGGCAAAGGGGGATGGGGGCGAAAAGTGAAGATGAAAGCAGACGACAGAACACGGCTAGTTAAAGAGCTGGAAAGGATGTGAAAGGGGAAAATTATAAAGAAGAAGAAAATTTTCCATGGCTGTCAGGTTTCGAACCCAAGACTTTTATTGAATGAGAGGTGAACACTGTAACCTCTAGATCACGTGAGCTCTCACAACTTCCTCCTCACAATTTCTTCCTCCTTGCGAGTTTTTTGTGACAGTGTTATAAAATCCGAGTGTTCTAATATGACCACTTTTCTCTGACAATGTTCTGAGATGATGACTTTTCTCCTCAATCTTTGATGGTCATCTTGGACAGGTCGAACCATTTCTAAGACAAAACCTATACAAATGACCACTTCTCCCTTTTGATTTTAAAAAAGAAATAATACAATCAAGCACACAAATAGTGAAATAGGCACATGACGAACAGATTTTCAGGTCCTGAATTTTTTCTAATATAGTATTTTTAAAATTAAAAACACGTCACATTAATATAGTGAAATTTGTGCTCAACAAAAAGACTTTTCTTATCTTCTGATTTAACGTCAGTGGCCTAGTAAAGTTGTAAAGGCTCTCAGACTCGCAACCAAAGGGTAGTGGGTTCGGATCCTGTCAGGGACTTAGCCTACATTGTGTCCCTTGGAAAGGCACTTTACACAAATTTTCCTCATTTCACCCAGATGGGAATGGGGACCTGGCTATAGACAGCGAAAGAACTTGTCAGTGTTTGAGGGTGTACTATCAGATGCAATGCAACTCGCTCCCCATGACGTCACGGCCCGACCTGCGGAAAGTTCGATCCTTAACTCGTCCCCCCTTTTGTAATCAAATAGTTTTTAAAAGGACAGAAGTAGGGTAGGGAAACTGGTAAATGATCATTCTCCTTCACATCTCTGAGCATTGAGTGCGTGTGTTTGTGTTGTTAATTTGAAGTACAATGTTATAGGGAGGTAGGGATAGGATGTCAAAGAGGGTGTGTATACTTCATTTTTTGTCGAATATTTCATCCACACACGCAATGCAGGTATAGACAATAGACATTGGAACAAATTTAAGTTGTGCAAGTCTTACAAGAACTTCTCAGTTTGGATCTGAAGCTAACCAGACTCAGTTAGCCAGCCTTTTCTTCCCTTTTGTTTACCATTTCATTAAGACTTGTTCATGAAAAATAAGGAACTGTTACTTGCTTCTTTTACACGAGAAAAAATGGACAAAATACTGTTTAGAACTTCTTAATTGAAATTGACTTTCTTTCTTTTGTTTTGAACAGGGGTTCAGCAATTGCCAAGATTATTGGGAATAATGCAGTGGAAAACCCCAGTAAGTTTGACCCAGAGGTCAACATGTGGGTGTTTGAGGAGCAGGTGAATGGGCAAAAGCTGACAGAGATCATCAACACACAACATGAGAACGTCAAATATCTGCAGGGAATTACACTGCCGGAAAAAGTGGTGAGTACTCAGCTCAACATTATAGATGAGCACGTTCTTGTTAAAAAAATCAGCAGGAAGGAAAAATCTTTTCGTTGCAAGATACATGCATGTAAGGAAATGTTTTGGGCCTAGAAATCTGTTCGCTATGTGCATGTTTCGTGTTTGCTATGTGTGCATGCTAGACAGTACATGATTTTCTGGAAAAAATAACTTTGGCGCCTTGCTTTTACCACGTGCTAAGTGACTTATAGTGTTAATGGGTTTATTTTTTGCTCATACCATTATTTCTAGTGGTTGCCACAATCATACAGACTTTCTACCTGATATGGCTCCTTGTTTCTCAAACAGTTGAACCAGCTCTAACAGTCACCTGTCCAACACAGTCACTTGTAAAAATGGCCACTTCCCATTTGCCCCATTATGCTGCCTTTTTTTCAATGGTATGAAATGCCACTGTCCGAGAAGTTCACCTTTCTAAGACAACCACTTTTCCTCTGAACAAAAGGTGGCTTTGACAATTCCAACTATAGCTGTTTTATCGTAGGTTGTGTGACAGGTTTCTGACCGTACCTAAATGTCATTGTTACAACTTCCTTTGTAACTACTGTCGAATCTGCTTTAATGACCATATCAATATCATTATTGCCTCTCTCACTTTGCACCAGGGTATAGGCCACGAACAAGCACTTTCCACCTTTCTCTATCCTGGGATAACCTCTTTATGTTATTCCCCATGTCTTCCCGCTTTTCTAATGACCACATGCCAATGGCAATACCTACTCAAACAACCGCTTCATGCTCCACCCGCACTTTTTTTCTTTCAAAACATTTTGGGAGACTGTCCGAGAGGACTCCCTGTCTAATATTCCGTGCACAGTGCCAATTGGATCTTTTAGGTTTGGGTCGGGCCCAGCCAGATTATCCTTCATGGATAGGCAAAAAGCTGCCATTTTGACACAATACAACCGTTTCGACCCACGACTTTGAAAAACAATGTGTTTGATTTTAAAGCTCACCATCGAAATTTGTTGAGTTCTGTTGCATTGTGCCAAAATGGTAGCTTAGTTTTTGCCCAATGTCTGGCTGTCCCCAACTCAAAACTGATGAATTAGAATTTGATTGGCAGTGTGCATTTGGTATAAAAGATGACCACCTTCCTTTTCAGCATCTTGGACAATCAGTCAATCAATGCCTTTCACCCCTGGCCCCATACAAGCTCCTTCCATTTATCTCTGTCTTGGACAGTTTCGACAATATTTGATCCAAATTGTGCAGATGGTTTGAGGACCCATTGATGGTTCCTTTTTGTCTTTTCTGTCCGTCAACCTTACTTGTCCCCTGCACTAAATGACGATAGTTGTGTCATTGTGTTTTTTTCTTACTCAAACACAAAACTGTTGGTTTTGTCTGTCTTGTTTTTCTTTAATTTTAAAGCTTGTAGTCAAATGGTCCTTTGCGTTGACATGCATCTCTTTACTGTATATAGTTTGTTGAATGTAGGTTGCTCAAGTTTTACATTTTCTCATTTTGGATCAGAGGTTAACCCGATTCAGTTGGCAAGCCTTTTCTTCCCTCTTGTTTACCATTACGTTAGTCATTAGGACCTGTTTATAGCTCATATGGCTCGAGGAAATTTCAAAAAGCTCTTTTTGGTGGGTGGGTGGCTGATGCTAATTAAATAAGTCGAACCTGATCTGACGGCGACCTGTACAAACAACCTCTCCCCGCCCCTACCCTCCTTTTCCTTTTGTGTTTTTTCTAACATTATAAATGACACTGTCTGAAACGGCCACCAAGATACCCACTTTCTCCTTACCGACTAGGGGGTGGGTCGTCTGAGACAGTTTCAACTGATAAACAGTTCAATTCCTGTCTCGTTTTGATCGAGTAGCGTCATTCTCTCTGATTTGATGTGATGTACCCCACTAAAAAGGGGTGGGCCAGACAGACAGGGCTGTAAATAATTGCATCCGTATGGTGGCCATAAAACGTGGACAACTTTATCTCCCACCCCCTTCTTCCCCCACTAATGAAAGTAGACTTTTTAAAAATAAGTAGCCATCAATATTGGCAAAGTTCAGTTGTTATTGTTTTTTTGGTGGTGTTTGTTTGGGGGGGGGGCGGGATGTTTACCAAGAAACATTTGTGAATGAGCCTTAGCAAAATTTAGTATCTTTTGACCTCGACAAAGAAATCCTTGCCTTGTCCTACATGTGGGTAAAAAAGTTGTAGGGATGGGGAGGGGGTGGTTTTGTTTCACTACGATGAACGGTGCAGTCTCTCTGAGCAGTCTTGACCCCCTTCATAGCCCGGTATGCACATATACCAGCGGAATTTTCCATTGCTTTGTGGCCCACATTAGTACCTACAGGTTTTGTGTTTGAGTATCTGAGATAGTTGACTTTTGACTGTATATGTTGTAGCCTAGCTGGCACTGTGCCGTTCTGAGGACTCGTTTTTTACCGAGTACGTGATACTGCACCGGCGTCTGCACACACACACACACACACACACACACACACACACACACACACACACACACACACACACACACACACACACGCACGCAAGTACGCACGCGAGCGCGTATTCATGCCCACAAGCATGCGCGCACACTGACATACACCTGACATACACACACGTGTGCGCGCGCGCACGCACACACACACACACACACACACACACACACACACACACACACACACACACACACACACGCACAAGGTGGAAAGTGGTCATTTTGGACAGTTTGCCGTTGGAGTCAGGTTCGACAGCACTTTCAAGAAATACTCATGTTCAGCTACTTTTTACTCCTTTGGAACATAACAATTAATTATCACCATCGTGATTTCCACATCGTGATTTCCACTATTTAGGATGCAAAAATTGATTCGCTTTGCGAGGGCTACCTGAACCCGATTTAATAACGCCACGCTTCCGTCGATTTGAGCGACGCTCTGGTTAAAGCTCAGTTGGTGTCATGCTGGACTACGGATTAATTAGATGGCCCTTGTTCAAATGCCAGACAGGGCTTTCTTAAGCTCAGGTCTGGGTTTTCTGAGCCTAGGCCCAGGTCGTTGTATGGAATTTTGATAGGATAGCCTAGCTTTCAGCCCATTTGGCTCGGTCCTATCGGAGACAGAGATGGAAGCCCCGGCTCTCTGGAATAGCCGGAAGTTAAACCAATACACTTACGTCAATTGGAGTGTATATATTTTCACAAACTAAAGCCAAAGTTTAGACCCTGTGCGTTGCTTGAAGGATGTCACTGATAGCCTACGTCCTGTGTCTTTTTGTTCCCTCTACTGTATTTTGCCTGTGCGGGTGGTTGGAGGGCGCCTCTGGTAGGTCTTACTTCTTAACTTTCCCTCTGTTGTTTCTGTCTGTCTGTCTTACTTTTTCCCATCACTACATGGCCATTATTGTGTCTATGTGCTTCTCTTTACTCAAATGAAAAAAAGTATTTTGCGTGTGTGTCTTGCTTTCCCTCTTTTCGAAACGACCATTTTTTCCTGTTCAAATGTTGCCGTTTTATTCGTACTAAAAATAATAATGATAAAGATTAAATAAAGTTTTTAAGTTATAAAATGTTACATCTGTAAAACGCTGCTATCTGTTGGCGATAAAGTTGATGGGTGACTTTAAGGGATCTTTGATCTTGAGAACAGATTCTGACGGTTTGATTAGGGGCAATTAAAGAAATACATGTACATATGTACATATAATATATGTACATATGTATAATTTTGTGATACGCTCGACATGTTGACAGGTCGTGTAATGTAATAATGGTCGTGGGATTGTTTTGATTGCAGATAAGAAATACAGCATAACTTTCGTTTTATCTATTTCTTTCTGTCTCTCTTTCTCCCTCACGCCCCGTCTGTCTGTCTGCCACTATCTCTCCCTCTCTCTCTCTCTCTCTCTCTCT